GTTTTGTCACCCCTCTGATGTGCAGAGGATTCTCCATCGTTAAGCCACACCTGCGCAAAGCGGCCAGAGGGATTGCCTCTGACGTAATCTGGAGGGCCGCTAACAGGTTGAAACGGGCTCGAAGTGGTGATGAGGATCTGGGAGAGCAAGATGGATCDGGATTAATGGTCCTATCGAAACGAGGAAAAAAGAGACCTCCCGGGCAGCGAATCTGGTCAGTTAAGAAGGATACCACGAAAAGAAAAAAAAATCAGTTAAAACAAACAAGCCGCAGAAGAAGACCAAGAAAAAGAAGAAGAAGACGCACCTGCTACAACAGCCTCGTGAATCTGATATATTTTAAAGAAATGAGAGAGAGGAAAAAATTATAATCATGACTCTCGTGCATAGAAAATCTTCAGAATGTGCGTTATCAGAATTGGATCTGTTCACAGCTCCAATGACACAATTGTCTATATTGGAAAAAACATACTCTGAATTATTACCGATCGCTGCTTTAACGGACACGTCTCCGGTTGAATTTTTTATCCCTGGAGATTCTGAACGATATACAGATTTGAATAGCACTCTTTATTTACGGATTAAAGTGACGAACGCTGATGGAACAGATTTGCCTAACGATGAGCAAGTGGCTCCCATTAATTATCTTTTAAATACCATGTTTTGCCAGGTTGATGTGACCCTGGGTGATCGATTGATTTCGCATTCCAGTGCAACTCATCCATACAGATCAATGTTAGAGACAATTATTAATTATTCATCAAGCAGTCTGAAAAGTCAATTTTCTGCAGGTCTGTTTTACAAAGACATGCCCGGAACGCTCGAGAGTGTGGACCCTGCAGGACGCAACGAAGGATTCAAAAAAAGAAATTCCATCACTGCTAATTCAAGAACTGTCGAGTTATTAGGCCCAATTCATAGTGATATATTTTTCTGTGAAAAACTTCTTCTGAACTCAGTAGATTTAAAAATTAAATTTACCAGAGCTAACGAGGCATTTTGCTTGATGTGCGCCCGTCAGTCTACATTCAAACTAAATATGCTGGGTGCGTCTCTTTTCATCAAAAGAGTTTCAGTTGCACCTGCTGTTCGCCTCGGACACGCTGCTGCTCTCATGAAGAGTAACGCGCTGTACCCTCTGATGCGCGTGCAGATAAAATCTTTCTCCATTCCTCAGAATTCCAGAATCTGTAATCAGGAAAACCTTTTTTTAGGGCTTAATCCAAAATATTTAATTTTAGGCCTTGTTCATCATGAAGCGTTTACATGAAGGAGAGATTTGAATCCTTTTAATTTTCGTCATTATGACGTGGAATTCCTTTCTTTATGTAAAAACGGTATGCAGATCCCTGGGAAACCTTTTCAGCCTGATTTTGCTAATCATAATTCGTTCAGAGAGTTCTACAATCTATTTCAAGCATCTGGGAGAGATCTGAAAGATTTACCGTTCTCTTTAGATCGAACCGGTTTTAATCAAGGTTTCACGTTATTTATGTTTAATTTTAATCCAACCGAAGACCTGGATGTACTCTCACCCGCTTCAACCAGGACCCTGCGGCTGGAAATCCGCTTCCGAGTACCACTGCCCCACATGTTACGCTGATTGCGTATGCCACATTTGACAGCATCCTGGTGATTGATTCAAAACGTCAGATCATGGTCGACTTCTACTGAGAAAAAACAAAACTATGAAGAATCATGAAATTGCAGACATGTTGGAACACACGCTGGGTGATATTTTCTTCGGGGTGTGGCCTTGCGATCAACTGGCTCTGTTTACGCAAATTACGCAAAGACCTGCATTTTTTGTTGTGAATACACACACCAGCGACAAACCGGGTGAACATTGGCTTGCTTTAACCCTGGACAAGAATGGGAAAGCCACATTCTTTGATTCCTACGGATTTTCCCCGTTATTTAAATATTACCCATGAGAGATGACGGATTTTCTGAAAGCTCATTCTTCGGCAATAATGTTTCATAATTCACAACTACAGAGCATTCACTCGTCATTTTGCGGGCAGCATTGTGTGTTTTATTTGGTAAACAGAGGTTGTGGATTATCAATGGCTCAGACGCTGGCGAAATATTCTCAGGATGTTTATGAAAATGATTCTACGGTGTCACATTTTGTAAAGAAATATCAAAAGTGTGTTAAAAACAGATATTGCGGCGGTTACACGCACGCAACTTGTTCTCTGGGTATGTTTAAAGATTGTCACTGCTTCTGAGTGTGTGTTTTTTTTTTTTCTAAATAAAAATGTAAACTTTTAAATTAATTGAAGCTGTTTTTTAATTTTTCCCGTGTATCAAAAATGTTTTGTTTCCTAAATAAAATGTAAACTTTTAAAAAATGGTATAAGCTGTAAGTTTTTTTCATGTATCAAAAAATGTTTCTTTCCTAAATAAAAAAATTGTAAACTTTTAAAATTTGTTTTTTTATTTCCTAAATGTTTCACAAATAAAAAAATATGTATAGATGATTTAATAACAATAACATGTGGAGATTATATAAGTTCAAGTAAGCATTTTATTGTGCACGTGCAGAAACATTCGGCATAACGAATCATCTTTTTTACAGAAATCTATTAAGCAAAAGAGAGCCTTTTCGAGGGTCGGAGATTTCTTCTTATCGGTAAAGTTCCAGTCTTTTTTTTTCCATTTACGGACTCCAGAGTGAGATGGTGGAGAGCTGTCAGAAGAATCCTGTTTCAATGTCCAGGTGGGCGATAAAATGACGCTGCTACTTTTACGCTTCTTCATCTTCTGACCTGATTTAACGCTTTTATACTGTTCTCGCACATGTGTATTCGTCACACACGTTATAGGTAAATTGACCTGAGATAAGGCAAATAAGAACTCGTCCCACCCTACTGGAGGATGGGTAGATTTCAAGGTTAGTGTCAACTGTTTGACCAGATCGATAATGTGCGACCCGCTCACCTCGTTGCCTTTATAAACAAATTCACCTGTGGACGTCCAGCCTCTGTCACCTTCAATTAATTTATTCAGAATATATTCAGCATTGTTGCGATTGCGTTGAGGTAAATTTCTCAGAACATCTTGCAGAACCTGATCAGTTTCTTTGACAGATGGATCGCTGCTGCCATCGTGTGGCTTCAGTGCGGCAGTGCCAGATTTTTCCATTTGACGTTGTTTGTTTAGAGTTAAATATTTCTGCAGCTACGCTTCGTATTTTCGTGCTTTTTCATAAAAAATCTAATCCTGGATCATCCAGAATTTCACGCATGCGCGAATCCAAATTGTGCAGTGCAGTTTGTCTGATGGGAATCAACGGCGGTGGCTGTTTACTCAAATTGTCCAGCTGATGTGGAGATATTAAATACATTTTCTGAGAGTGTTTTAAAGACATGGTTTTAACTATCTTTTCACGAGACCGGATATCAATTCAGCTATTAACGGGGCTGCGATTACTAGCAGCGGGAGAAATCCTCCCCTCTGTGTGCTGAGAAGTTTTCGTTTTTATTGACTCCAATTTTTTATCAGCTAAAATATGAATTTTTTTTACGCTTCTTTAAGGTTTTAAACTGAGCAGGTGAGAGAGGAATATTGCCTTTCAGAACGTTCAGAGCTAGTTCACAAATTGAGTTTATGAAATCCGTGGAGCCGCGCATCAAAATCTCTCTCCTCTTTTGAGGTATTGAATTCGTAAGCGCTCTGAGCAAATGTGCGTTTCTTTTTAATCGTGCAGACATGCTGAATAAAAATAAATAAATAAATAAACTAGTTTATTTTAAGCCTTCCTGGGAATATAAACCACTAAATTTTTATCGCGTGGAAATATCCCCGTACAGAGCCGTAGCTCATCTGGACAGGCCGGTGTCAAATCAATTAATAAATACCCCTACGCACTGGAGGCCGTGGCATTCTGAAGACATTCTAGAAAAAACATTTGTTGTTTTGGAAACATTTGTCGTGCTAAGACCGCGGCCTGCAGTTTGTCTCGAGGGTTTTTAAATAACACAATGTAATTTGAATTCAGACTGATTGTCCTGCTGTGTTTACTCTGTTGAAAAATGTTTTGCGTAAGAAAAAATACACTCATATTTCTGTGATGGCGATACTGTATAAATATTTTAACAACTTCCAAATTATCCATTGTGTGGAATATAACATCATCTAAAATCACGAAATGTGATTTATTAAAAGGAAATAATACAGGATCTGCAAAAGAATCAGGCAAATCTTTGATAAATTTAATGTTTTTATTCATTTTCATCAAATCATCAAAAATAGACTGATATGTGTCGTACACCCATACAATATTTTCAGGCACATTATTTAAAATACTCTGACAATTTTCTAAGACGTTTTTTACAAAAAAAGATTTGCCACATCCGCTGGGCCCTGCTAGAATGCAGCTAAATGGAGTCTTGAGTCTAGGGTCAAATTCCACCTGTTCCACTTGCATGAGTGACATTTTTTTACATCAATAACCAAAAGGCAAGGTTGTTCCGTTACTAAATAATCTAAATTTATCGTAAACTACTTTGAACGTTTTTTTTAAAGTTTGAAGTTTTGACCAGAAAACCTCTCTTGTCACATGTTATGCTCTGTTGTGGAATTTCAACATGACAGCTTTGATCTCTACCCAGAAATCCCTCAACAAGCTGACTGATTCCGTCAAAATTGACTTTTGTGCAGGATTCACTAGTCTGCGTAATACGACTTTCTCTTGTCTCGTTTTTTACGCGTACGATTTTGGACCTGTAGATGCAAATTCTTGGATTGAATCTCCTGGGGAGAGTTCACTCGTAAGATCGCCTAAATAATTTCCCACCAGTAACGTTTCTTCACCCGTTTTTGTGGTATAAATAAGCGAGTCAGTGTCCATATACAACACTCGCGCTCCTAATTTCTGGAGAGGTTTCAGCAGTTTGAGACGCACGTGCGCAGTGGTGAACCCAGCAATGAAAACATTGTCTGTCCTATTTGGAGGAGAAATGCAGCATTTATTAAAACTCCACTGGATCAGGACCGCTTCGGTGTTGAGAAAGTGAAAATAGGAGACTTTATGTTTTCCTGAAAACAGAAAGTCAAACAGCTGATCGGGTTCTTTCACAATGGTGGTCTGTGTCTGATTGCTCCTTTGTGCAAACTTTCCCCAGAAGCTATTTAAACATAATTTTGCAATATGCCTTCTCGCCGGGTTCTGTTGAATTTTTTCATGGCCCAGCTGAATGCCCTGGTGCGTGAAATAATCGTGAATGTATTTCTGTTTACCCTCCTCGTCCGTTACTTCCGGGGGGAATCCGCTGCTTTCTTGTTTGTTTTTCAGAAATCGATTAATATAATTGATAAAGAGTTTGTCACTCTTTTGCTCAAAATGCCAGACCTGTGTAGTCTTTAACACTCTGTAGCCAGCAGCCAGGGAGGCGTTAAACTCCACTGTTGTCCAGACACCTGTGAGCGCTCTGTCCTGCTGGCTGTGGAAACAGGATGTGCGCTGATTGTTTGTCTCGGCGCAAGTTCGACAGAGAGTGAACACCAGCTTGCCGCGCGAGGTTTTAAATGGGAGGACCGGGAAAAACAATTTTCTCGGTGGCTCTACCGTCGCTCTGATGAACCCGAAATAGTTTTCAGGTTCATCAAAATCTCTGTAGATTATTTTAGGGTGTCCTATCGGATAAACCCCCTCAGCGTTCACACTGGGATACAGTGAACAGAAGTCCATGTATTCCACCGTTTCGTCAAGCTGTGCGCTGAAAAGCAGCCAGACCGCGCAGGTGCATCCCCCATATACAGTAAAGCGTCGCGAGGACGTAACGGTTCGGGCGCATTGTAATTCTGTAGGAACTGACCTAGTGTGGGGTCTGATTTTTTCATATTTTCCCACTCGTGTTCCCAGATTACTTCCACATTTAATTTGTGATCGTTTTTTAAAGCGCACAGTTTCTCGTTCGTGGCTTCGTAGATCGTTTCGCACGGAACGCGTCTTAACGGACACTCGGACTGAGGTGCAAAACATTTTGGACACCCGTGGAAAAAACACCCCAGGAATTCAAAGGCCGTGTGCACCTCAGCCACCTGCGCAAAACCATCCACAAAGTACTTCCCACTTTTTTCTCTCCAGCGTTAAGCGCGTGAGCAATATGTATTTTTCTACTGTACGCAATCCACTCCAGCCACTGAATGGATGCGTTAGAAAACGTTTTATGAGGCATGTAGTCCATGGGGCTAGGAATAGCAAGAGTGTTAGGCTTCAGAAAGTAGCTCTGATAAACTCTGATGCAGGCGGACGGTATTGTTATTTGCTTGAACGGATCCACGCCGGTTTCGTCAAAAAACTGCTGTCTAAATTTAAAACAGCCTTTCATCAGAATGTCCACATCATTTTTACAATAAAATATGGACTCTTTTTCAAAATGGAATGTTTTCTGACTGGCTTCAGCGTACCAAGCGTTGAACTTTTCAACCTGGGCTGGAGGCATTTTATCCACTTCATAATAGGACGCGGCCGGAAATGTTCCTATGTAATTTAAATGCTCGAGAGAGGAGAATGTGTGTGGAAAATAACCTTTTGAACAGTCGGGGAAACCCAGCGCTTGAGGAAAAGCGCTCAGTCTCATCGTCAGGAAAGATAGACTGTCCTGAAATCTCAAATTGTAATCAGGATCTGTGAAGCACAGAACCTTCGAACCTTGCATAATTATGCTCGGCATTATACCGAGCTCTGTCATGCAACTGAGTATGATGTATGAATCAAAACCACGTGCGTTGTGTGCAATAAATGTGTAACCGGTGTACAGAGGCCTTCGAAAATTTAACAGAAAGTCTCTCATGCAGTCCAGCTCGTACAAACACCAAACGGACCCTGACAAGCTCTTTGTGCACACCAGAAGCGGGACGTGTACCTTTTCTGAATTCAGAAAGGTTTCAAAATCGTAAAATATTATTTTATTGTGGAGATCTTTATCACGCGAGGTGGGCTGAATGTAACACGAATGATTGCCGCGAATTACATCACATCCTGCTCTTTTCAGAGCAGATTGAGCATTTTCGAGAAGCGCATTTGTGACTTTGGGCATACCGCCCAGTTAAAGGGATTCGGTAAATCTGATTACAAACGTGACAATGTTTGTAAAGCTGACACTGACTGACAAATTTCTTAACAGTGGGTCTTTCTATGGGGATCAAATGATTCTGAAAGCAGGTTGCATTGCGACAAATTCTGTGACACTGCTCACATTTAACAGGTTCTGCTTCGCGCAGAACACACGAGGTGTGATTACACACCCCGCAAAAACCTTTGCACTGATGCGTGTGCTGGTTTTCAAAAGATGTGAAGCAGAAATAGCAAAAGTTTTTCACACCTAGGAAACATTTTATATTTTTCACCCCGTAAAAATGTTCATTCATTAAAAACAGGAAAACCGGTCTGCTGCGGTCTGAGAAGTCTGTTTCAAATATAGTCAACGATGCGTCTGGGGAAGGTCTGTAAAAAACAACAATTTTCCTTTTTATCAAATGTTCAAATTTAATTACGTCTGATAATGCCAAGGTGCGTGAACTGAGAACCCGAGCTGTGCGTGCCATTGTAAAGCGGTTTGTAAAGCCTGCGAGTCTGTGAACGTGGGGTTGGACATGTGGGCTAAACCGAGGGAAAAACGTGTTATTTTCCTGATTTTCAACGAAATAAAGATGCTGTCTTTTTTATGTAAAAGTTCAACATCCAGAGTCCTGTTGAGTTTACGTTTTGACCCACCTCTCTGGTTTCTGACAATTTGAACGGTAAATTCTAACGTTCCGTCGGCTTCAATTTGCGCATTTGATTGGATTAATTCATCGAGAAAATCAGTGAAATGTTCAGAAATTTCACGCTCATCTCCTCCTCCTACAGCGAAAGCAGTGTGATGCGCCGAGCCGTGTCCTGAAAGCTCCAGCTGAACAAAATCACCCCACTCTGTTAACGAAGCGGTTCAGTCAGCCAATTCTGACAAAATATTCATGACTTGAGTGTAAAAATCGGCCAGGCTCAGGGGCTCGTAAGACGGGGGAATGAAGAGTCGTCTCGTGATTTCATAATTATTAAATCTTTCGCGAGATATTTCATTTTGATCTGGACTGGATGAAGGTCCTGGAGAGGAGGGTGGCGAAGGAGCGTGTGAAGGTCCGGGGGTGGGAGAGGAGGAGGAGGAGGAGGGAGGTGAATGAGCGCTAATCCCCGCACCGTGCTGGATTGCGCTGTGGCTGTGAGGAGCAGAGTTTAATAAAGCAGCCTCGGGAGAGGAGACTGGGTCTTGTTCTGGGGAGCGCGCGGTTCGTAACGTTAAAAACACATCATCTAAAATACTGAATGAATCAGAGTGCGTTGATTGCGTGGTGTCAGGTGTGTTATTTTGAGTGTATTCATCATCAGCAGCAGCATCTGAAGCGGTAGCGTTTCTAAGTTCAGATAATGAATTATTTAAATCGTTAACAAGTAAACCGATTGGAGTCTGGTCCAAATTTGTGCTGTGAATTTGAAGAGATTTGAAGCGATCCTGATCAGACAGTTGTCGTGCAATTTCGTCATGCAATGCTTGCATTAGAGATTCTACAGTATATGATCTGGTGAACCAGGAGGTGAATTCTGCTCAGTGCTGTTTAAATCATTTTGTAATGATTGACTTAGAACTGAAATGTCATTAGCTTCTGAGGTTGACGGAGAGTTCTGTTGAATAAGATTTTGCAAAGCCTGTTCTAACTCGTGAAAATAATTTATTTCAGTATGAACTGTATTATTTGACAAACTAGACATTTTTCATCTATTTTATTGCTCAAACAATCTTATGCAAAGTTCAGTTAAATGCAGGATGGTTTGAAGACAGTGGCTCCTCAATTCATCGACGCTGGACTAATGATCTAAAAAAATAAATAAATAAAAATAATAAATAACTTTTCCTAATTAAAAAAAAAACGCGTGCGTGTCAGTGTTGAAAAAATATAAAAACTATACTCACTTCTTCTTCTTCTTCTTGTCGACAGATACCCGCGCAGGTCCGCTCTGCGTCGGAGCGCTCTCTCGAATCTGCTCCTTCTGACGCGGAGGCTCGGTACTGCGAAGGCCTGGTTAGGATTCTGTTGGGCCGCGTCTGTCTGTGTGGGTAACGGATGGTTCGGTTCGTTCTGGTCAGGAGTTGTGGATGGGAGCGGTTCGGGCTGAACCACACGGAAAGCTGCTTTTCATTTTTTGTAAAGAAAAAAGAAAAAAATATTAAAACCTTAATTATTAAAAATAATATACACATATTATTTATATATAATCTTACACACAACCCACCTGGATCTTGAGAAC